GCCCCTCGTGTGCTTGCCACTGGGGTCAAGTAAATGTGTAACTTTATTACATGTCATGTGCACAGCCATCGGCGCCGGCCCATCATGCCGCGCCGCGCCATGCCATAAAACACCTTTCCGGGCTGCACTGGGTATTGAAGCTTAGCTTTTAAACTTGCTCAAATCAGCAATTAAGGCATAAATTAATTTGGGGTCAATCACGGACGGGTCGATGTTTCCCTGAATTTCGGTATTCGAATTTTTTATCGTAGTTTGTTCGGTGGTTGGGGTTGGAAGAGTCTTGGAAATTTCAGATGGCTTTACCAAATTTTGACTTTGCGTGCTAGTAGAATTGGAGCGCTTTGTAGTTTCACTATATACTGTTGAGCATTTAGCACAAGTAGTGCTCAGTGTAGCGGATGAAGAGCTGATCGAAGGCAGACAACCTACAGTAGAGGTGTAAACTACACAAGATGAAGAGCTGATCGAAGGCAAATAATTTGCAACAGACGAAGAGCTGATCGAAGGCAAATAATTTGCAACAGACGAGGAGCTGATCGAAGGCAAGCAACTTACAACAGACGAGGAGCTGATCGAAGGCAAGCAACTTACAGTAGAGGTGTAAAGTGCAGCAGATGAAGAGCGGATCGAAGGCAAAAAAGTTACAGGAGATGGACTACATTGTAAAGAGGATGTTGGTTTCAATCCAGAGGCTATCGTTTTAGTCGGGCAGGCAGTTGGCAGGCTATACGTCTTAAGCTGTATGTTGCTGCATTTAATTGGCATTGAAGCCTGCAATTGAGACCTCAATACATTATCTATCGGAATCAGAGTTAATATTAAGGGCCTTCCCTCTATCGAAGAATTTGAAATTCCAAAACCGGTTTCTTTCAAGATTGGATGCCGATGCGAATCAGGAGATAAGTCAACCAACTTAATGGGAATGGATATTGGCTCCGTATTTGAATACCATACAAGCCAAGAGATTGCGACAAAAATGTACAAATTCATCAATGGTGGCCACTGGAAAATTCATCCGATTTAAATTATCCCGGATGCCTAATTGCAATTGGAGAAAAATTGGAATTTATTTCAAATTTTTACCCGTCTTTGGTAAATGTGTCCCCAAAATGGCATCAATCAAAATTAGATGATATAAAGACACGGAGCAAGCACGTATCTAATAGTGAATGCAATAAAAGTGCAAAATATTTGAAAAGACAAAAGCTTTGTGGTCAAACTTTGCTCATGACAGGGTCCAAACCAAAAAATAAACACATTAAGTAGGGTCAGATTGTTAAATCGATACTTGGTTTCTCCAGAAACACCATCTGATTCGACAATCTCTAAGTGAGCTAATTTGAGCTGAGATAAAAACTTGATCATCAGGAATCCAAGCTTTTCTTTAATGGTCGATTTAGGCTTAAGCAGAAACTCGACGCAGCTCATCTCAAGAAGGCCTGTAGATGGATTGAATTTTGGTAATCTATGCCTTGGACAATCAAGAAAATGGAATAGTTGAGGGACGGAATATACAAAATTGATTGCCTGTGGGATGAAGAACAAGCAAAGAGTTTTTGAGAAATGCCCCACCAAACCAACTACGGCGAATGTCATCCCGCTGAAATAACAAAATGTATCGCCAACAAAAACACTAGCAGGGTATTTGTTTGCTCTATAAAGAGGGATAGAAACAAACACAAAAGGAATGAGTAAAACTAGCGACAAAAAGTGAACTTGACGAGCATTAGGATACGATTCCGGAGAGAAAACGTGCATAGAGCTATTAATGATCATTGAAATTGCAATGACAATTGATTGTCCCACTTCAAGTCCATTAATCCCAGCAAGGATGT